TCAACTCCACTCTACCATTCTTCAGTCTGGAGGGCTTTGGACTCATATTTGACTCCTATTTCTCTCTCATTCTTCTAAATCAGACAGGCAATCCTGTTGGCTCTGCCTTCAGAACACATTCATGTTATGACCCCTTCACATCATCTCCACTGCCAGCCTTCTAGTCTCAGTCTCTGACTTGGGCATTGCAAACACCTCCTAGTTAGTCTCACTACTTCTGAAGGTGCCTCACTGTAGTGTGTGCTCCACATAGTGTAGGTGATAGATAGTAAGAGTAAGCTTTCTGAAGGCCAAATCATGCCACTGCTCAGCTCCAAAATCTCTAATGACTTCCCATCTAATTTGGAGCAAAATCTCAAGTCCTGACCTTGATCTCCAAGGCCCTTCTGGCCATCCTGCACACCTTCACTCTGCACATCATGAGCACATTTCCGACTACTCCTTCTTTCGTTCTGTCTGCCCAAGTCACCCTAGACATCTTTTCTTCCTTCAACCCATCAAGCACACCTTGTCTTGGTACCTTTATATCTACTGCTCCTTTTTATTGGATGCTTTTTTCTCAGGCATAAGCATGACATACACTTTCTTCCCACTTCCTTCTGGTGTCTATTCAAATAGCACCTCACCAGAGAGGACCTCTCTGGTTATACTATATGAAACAACCTTCTTATTTTGCTTTCTTTTTCTTCTTAGCATTCATAACCTAATATATGATATTTAATTTCTTTTTTTTTTTTTGTCTTCCTCCATGTAGAATGAAAGCATCATGAAAAGAAGGACTTTGTTTCATTGACTACTCTTCAGCAGGGCCTAAAACAGTGCCTGGCAAATAGTAAGCACTTAATAAATACATGAATACTGGAGTGGGTAGACACTACCTGACCACTACAGTCAAGATTCTGGGGCCCAGAAAGAACAACAGCAGATAGAGCGTACCACCTCCCTCAGCCCCTTCCCCTCTGCCTTGTAGATAGGCTTCATGTTTCATGGATAGTATTCTTATTGATCAACACATTCATTCATTATTATATGTGGTGTTACAAAGGGATATAGTGATGTAAAAGGAACTCGTGCAAGGTAGAAGAGGAAACTCCCTATTAAAAAAATAGTTCAAGGCCAGAATTACAAAGGATCAGACTACTCAGAGATTTAAGTGGGTAGAAAGGTCAGAGGAAGCTTCTTGAAAAATATAGATCCTACCTTGGGTCTTTCAGGAAGGTATACATTGTATTTGCCATACAAGTTACTCCAAACAGTGACTTAAAATGACATCCATTTTATTACAGCTGATGGCTTTATGGGTCAGGAATTTGGGCAGACCTCGTCTGGGTGATGCGTTCTGTTCCATGTGGTGCTGATGGTGCTCCGTGGTGCTCAGCTGGTGGATGGACTGTTTGGAGTCCAATCCAAGACCAAGTCACTTGCAGATCTGGTGGGGATGCCTAGAAGCAGGAGTTCAGTTGGAATTGTGAGCGAAGCACCCACATGTGGTCTCTTCAGCACAACAGTTTCAGGGTTTCCAGACTCTGTACACAGTGACTCAGAGTTCTGTTAAAAAACAGACAAAGGGCCCCAAACTGCTTATGCTACGCCCTACACCATCAAAGTAAGAGTTAACTCAGTTACTGTTTTGGGCCTCCTGGTAATGGAATTGTAAGCCAGTCAATGAGGAATTGCCTGATCAGCACTAGTTAGGTAATTGGCCTGATACACCCCAGCCATCCTGTAAAAGGGAGTCACCTTGCAATAATTAACCTACTTTTCTACCTAGTATAACTTTCTTGTTCCTGCTTCTTTCTTCTTATAAAAGTCTTTCATTTGTACATCCCCTCCACACTCCTTTCTATCTGCCAAATTGGATGCACCCTGCAACATGGATTGTTGAACAAAGTCAGTAATATCTTTAAAATGTACTCAGTTGAGCTTTGTTTTTTAACAGTTCCAAGGACGAGTGTTCCAGGAAACATGCAAGAGGTATGGTCTGCTGAGCTGCGTGGCCTTCTGTGACCCAGCCTCAGAAGTCATGGTGCATTTCTTCCTTGCTCTCATTGGTCATCAGAAGCAGTCACAAACCTACCTACCCAGATGCCGGTGGGGGGATGACATTGTCCCCATTTTTCCTTGGACGAAGGGTGAAAGAATTTGCAGCCCTTTTTTCATACTGCCTGAATGAGGTAAAACTCAGTGAAGAGGTGAGTGAGTAGTTAGGAAAGTGTTCTGGGCTGGGATGAAAGTTTGAGCAGGGGTGGGATAGGACAAGTGGATTTAGGAGCCATAGAGTGGAGACTCATGTGCTCAGAGTGGGAGACTGACCTGGAGGAATGTCACAGACAAAGATAAAGGAAAGGGCATGGGCTAGATGAGTTTGAATACCTGGTTAAGGGGTCTAGTCTTTGTTCTGTAGACAAATAGTGTTTAAACTGTTTTGTTTTACATATCCTTCAAAGAATTTTGAAAAATACATATTTAGATTGACACCCAATTTCCCCACCCCACCCCATAATTTAAAAATAATTGCACAGTTCAGCAGTTCTCTCTACATGACTATTCCAGCTAGCAGAGGCCTTTCATTTTCTTCTTTCAATAACGTCCAGTGTCACTGTGGGTGTCTTCTTCCAAGTCTGTGCCTGGAACCTGGAGGGCCACACCTAGAGAAGGTTTCCTAGGCCAAGAATGGAACTGGTGCATATCACTTCTGCTCCCTTTCCACAGGGCAGATCTCAGTTATGCAGCTACCCCTGCCTGTGGGGAAGGCCAGGGAGAAGAGATGAGCACAGATTTTGTGGAAGAGCTAGCAGTTCCTGCACAGAACATAAGAAAAGCATTCAGTGCAGGTGCTGGCATTCAGTAAGCATTCAACAGGGTAGCTGCTGGTATTGTGAGCACCATTGCTATTGTTACATGTTTAGTCTACAGGGTATGTTCTATGCACAGATGGGTTTGCACTCCCTTTGCTGGAGCTTGTAGGCCCCCAAGGCAGATGCACAAAGGAGGCTCCAGAGCCTTGGAGCCCAATTAGTAGATAATAAACCTCAGCTGGCAACTGCACGCCAGTCAGTGGGAGGCAGAGGAAAGCTGTGTGGTAAGTCCCTGCCCCAGATTCCTGCACAGTGCTTGCCTGCCTTCGACAATGCGTTTCCTACCCAACACTTGCGCTAGCCCTCCCTGCCTTACACCCAGCTTTTACTTCTCTGTGAACCCTAGGGTAGACTCTATGGTGCCTCAGAAAAACCGGGGAGTTGCCCTAGGCTGTGGGGCAAATTTGTGTCCCTATATAGCTGCCATTCTAAATGACCCAACAATAACTGGAGAAACAGCACTAGTTTTCTTTAAGAATTCTAGGCTTGTGCTTCCTGCTTTATACCCTGAGTGGAATATCTCAGCCTTCAAAGACCTGATTGAAAGTCTTTGCTTTCTTTTCCCTGTCTTTACCTGCTAATCTGGACCCCCAAAAATAGAAGAATGAACTTTTTCCCCCCGGGGTCCTTAGTAACCATGTAGATTAAACCAGGCAATCCCGCAGGAAATTGATGTTGGTTTTGCCTGGGAAGGACAGCGGGAACAGTGTAAACACTGTCTTATTTGCTTTCCAAAACTACTAAGGTGACTATGTGATGAATTGGTTTTCTCCTCTAGTTACAGCCTTTCTAGAAAAGTGGGGGTATTCCCTCTCCCAGAGCTTAACTCATTCATCCAAATGGTCCTACCTTACATCTCTGGGCAGGTGCATCCTGCAAAATCTCCTCTCAGTGGTGTGCAGTTGATGTGGTGGAGAAATAATTTAATATTTTCTGAATCCAATAGGAGAAGCAGGTCAGTCCAAGAAAATGAATGTCTCCTCCCTGGGCTGTGTGCATGCAGGGCGCAACATAAGGAGCTCCAGGTGTGACCTGAGGACGGTTCAGGGGTTTGCCCAGAAGCAGGTTCAGCAGAGGTACATCCTGCCCTGCACATGAGTCAGCACTCAAATTGTTAGGTTGGCCAGGCTTGGCTTCCCTGGTGAGCACATCCAGCCTCCGAGAGGGAACATGCAGCACTGCTCAGAAGAGCAGGCGCGAGGATACAGCAGCGTCCTGGCATTCAGGCTTGCAAGGAGGAATGACATGCGGTTTTGAATGAGCAGCTGCATAGCAGGTTTAGGTACGTAGCTTTGCTCTGACTGAGAGTGTTTTGTTTTCTCCCGAGGGAACAAAGCAATGGTTGTTTGTGTTTGCAAACGCGATCCTGTGGACATTGAGAAGGAACAGATGTTGGTGAGCCTGCTGTTTTATTATGAAAAAAGGGACAGGTGTGGGAGTGGTGGGGGGAGCAGGTCCTTCATACTCATTCGTTGTTTCTCTTGCAATGGCAGATTTTCTCTAGTTCTATCTGAATTGCAGTGCTGTGTGGTCAGGTCATTTGAATGTCACAGTTACAGTGGAAATCAAAAGGTATCTTTTGCTTGCTCTTTCTGTACATCTTCATAGCTACGTTCAGATATATGGATTTGGTTTGAAGAGTCATTTGCTGAATCGGTGAAGCCAAGTGGCAGAAATCCACTTTCCTACCCTATTTTGGAAAGCAAGCTTCCTACCATCAGGCTTAAAGAGCAGACTTCTCTAAATTCGCTATTTGCCTCTGACAGCAGCAGCATCTTGGATATGGCTTTTTCTCTCCTACAAGCTGCTGACGTCCATCTCAGGTGTGTGCAGCATGGCCTGAAATACCCTTTAGCATCCCAGCTCTTCCAGTGAGTCTACCTGACTGGGTCACCCTGGCCTTCCCATCCCTTTGGATGACTTTCCCTAGTCTATTGATGAAAAAAGTATCTGAAATCCAGAGTCGATTCAAACTATCCCCAAAGGCTTGCGTTTGGTGGAATTCCTAAGGATATAGCAAAGTTTGCCTGGATATCACTTCATCTCCACGCTGGCAATGCCTCACCACCCCTCACCTGCCTGACAGTGAGGGCATCACTGATCCGGGTGCTGGGGCCACTGTAGCGGCAGTCAGAAGATGTGAATTCAGTACCTGTATCTGCAACTTATTAGTTCTTGGAACCTCATTGAGCCTAGTTGTTTCATTTGCAAAACTGGGATCCTGCGTGTGAACATCTGGAATGGTGCTGGTGACACAGAGAAGAATAGGATGAGACTCTAACAAGAAACCATCCAGTGGAGAAACACTCATTCAGTAATAAGTACCACAGTAGGAGAGTGCATAAAGGTTAAGAGGAAGAATGGGCTCATCATGAATTCTCTTTGGGGGACTATGTTCTTATAAGGAACATATTTTCAGCATTCTCCAGTTTACAGAGCAATGCCACACACTTCCTCTCTCTATTGCCTCCACAATCCTGTGATGTAGATTCTTGGTAGGAGCATGAGGAGAGGCTGCCCTTATCCCTGTCACCTTTGCTAAAACAACACACTTGTGCTCCGGAAGTGATACCTGGAAACCTTTCTTCACTGGTAAAAGCAGAGATGCCAGGAGACAGCTCTGAACATTCTTACAAATAGCACCTTTCCAAAGCCTTTCTGCAGGAGACCTTTGCCAATCTCTTTATTTTCCCTCTCAGAGAAGGAAGTGTCTGCTTCTCTGCTGAGAGACAAGTTCAAGTCAACAATAGGCAAGAAAAGTAGAGAACATACCAAATGTCTAGTGCAAATGCACTGTTGAGCGGGAGGGAAGGAATGAAGTAGACCCTCTCTGAGGGCAGGCACCAGAAGCTCTCCTAGCATGAGGGAGGAATGGGTACTCTTGCAAAACTGGTAATAGTAACTTTGAGATGGCAAGTTATCCATCCCTAGGATCAAGACTCTGAAGCAGGAGGCCAATAAGCCACACATCACTGGATTTGAGTGTCAGAGATCACCCTGCCAAAAGGAATTCTGACACCCAGGCTCCCTGCAGCAAAGTATGCTTCTGGCTGCAACCCTAAGTTGTACCACTTACCTATTTTCCCATTTGGCATGAGGGAATGTATCCCAAATTTCTCCAGAAAGGTGGGGTCCGATAACAGTTGCATGCATGGTTTTCATGAGGCTTTTCCTTGCACCATACTGAGAACAGCTTCACTCAGAATAAGACGCTTGAAGAGAAGGGGAAAAGGGGGTCAGAGGTCAGTCACCATCAGATTATGGCAGCCATAGAAGCCACAGAGGGCAGTGCAGAGAATGGTACCTGTGATTGTGCAGGAGAAGGTTAATATCTGCTCAGGGGGGTGACATGAGCCTCCTGGGATTCTGCCAAGAGATGGGGTCCCTAAGGCCTCAGAGAATCTTCTGGATTGGGGAATGGGTTAAATGGGTGAAGGGCATAAGAGGTACAAACTTGCAATGATAAAATCAATTAGTCATGGGAACGAAAGTACAGCATAGGAAAATAATCAATAACTATTGTAACAACTTTGTTGACAGATGCTAACTACACTTACCATAGTGAGCATTTCAGAATGTAGATAATTGTTGAATCACTATGTTACACATCTGAAACTAATATAATATTGTGTATCAACTGTATTTCAACTTAAACATTGAAGAAAGAGAAAGAAATCTTAATCCAGAACCCATGCTCTAAAACACATTTTTTTATCATCTCCCTGCAAGTGGCATGGCTAAAGATTCAGCTCCTCTCTCCTGAACATGGGCCACCACTTCTATTGTATAAAAAACCATCTCAAGTTAACCTTGCCCACATTTCAGTAGGTCAGAACTTCCTTCAGACACGGAGTGTGGGTTCGAAAAGGGAGCAGGAAACTCCAGGTTTCTGGGCATATAGGAGTCATTCCTTCCAACTGTTTCTTATGCAAAAGAAAAACAAAACTCTTTGACAACCACTTTTCCTTTCTTCCTCTTCTGGGTTCTACCAGGAATCTTGAACAATGTTGTAATATTTTTAGGGGAAATAAATCTGTTTCTCTCCCACACACATTCTTTGAGTGTTGGAATCTTGAAGAAATGCTATATTCAGGAGATTTTGGGGTTTTGTTATAGTTACAAGCTTTAGCCTCAGCCCTCATTCTAATGATTTTAGGCCTGGTATTGATACTCAGAACTTCAACTGGATCCATTTTCTTCTTTCCTTCATAATGAGTTAGTTTTTCCCAAGTTTCCTTTTTTGGTTAGTGGCATAATAATAGTTCTCTCTTAACCTTAAAAAATTTGGTTTTCACCTCCCCATCCTGCACTGAGCAGGTATCAAATTCTGGTGACATACTTCACAGCACTTCTCAAACATATTCCTCCTTTCCATTCACATTGCCACCTCCATGTACTACCTTGCTTCCCCCTCAAACGGGGTCTCACCTTTTAAATAGTTGCCAGTCTCCACCCCAGGATGGTCATTAGCTTCCACTTTGTTTACCATCTCCCCCTCCTTCTATGCCATTAAAGCAGTAAGCTGAGAAGAATTTGGAGAATTAATCTGGGTTTCTCAAGGAAAATTTGCTTGATCGATTAGTGATGTCTGCCATGGCTAAGGGATATGAAATAAGCATCTTTTTGTAGCCTTTCCCCTCCCTGCTCCATTTTCCCTACTTTCATTAGGTGAATGCAAAATGCAGCTCTATTTTTGTTTTTATCTTACTCTAAAACATCCAGGGACTCTTTACTACCTTCAGTAAGTTAAAATTCCTCAACTAGGCATTTTTAGAACTTTCAGATTCTGCCTGTAACTTACCTTCTCAGCTGCATCTTTCATTGCGCCCCTACAAAAGCCTACATTAGTGGGTCTCAAACTCAGTGTCACAATGGGCCAGTGAGTGAGAGAGGACGAGGTTATAACCAGAGAGCTGTGATCTTACAGAAAACCATATCCTGTCTTAACTCTGGCACAATGTGGGAGAGATCTGTGTGAACATCATCTTTCAGAAGGTTAAGGCAGAAAAAATTAACCACATTGCTTGCTATTTTATATATATATATATATATACACTATACTGTGGGCTTTTTTCCCCTGCACTTCAGCGAACACTGATCCTTTCACCTCTCTAATGCTATCTGACAAAATCTATTTTGTTCAAAGTTCAGCTTGAATTCTACCTCCTTCATGAACCTTCCTTAATTTCTCAAACTAGATATGATATCTTTTTTATGAGCCCCCAGAGCACTTTATTTAGGATGCTTATATTCAACCTTGTATTACATTATTTTTGTGCCTGTCTTGTATTCCCCAAATACATAAACAGCAGAAAGAACAATCTTACTAGTTCAATGCGCTGCATACATGTTGACTCTTCATGATCTGGCATCTGTTGACCACACTTATCATGTCATTTCTTAATATCCTCTTTGCCTCTCCTGCTCTTATAATAACTAACAACTTCCAGTTTTCCAAATTTCACTTGCTCTCTCATCTTCAGGCCTTTGCACACATCATGCCTTCTTATCGTGTGAAGTCGATTGCCAAAATAGCCCAAGTTCTTCACCCCTCCCTGAACCCACACCTTCTGCAATGTAACTTCCCATCAAGAGGTGGAGACGCATTCCCCTCCCTTTGAATCTAGGCTGGCCCTGGGAATTTCTTTGATCAACACAATTTAGCAAACATTGCAGTGTGACAGTTCTGAGCCCAGGCCTCCAAAAGGCCTGCATGTTTCAACTTGTTTTCTTGGAAAAAGGCCCAGCTGCCATGTGAACAACCCTGTACTAGCCTGCTGGAGAATGAGATACCATGTGGAACAGATATGAGTTGTCCCAGCAAAGGCCATCCTAAACCAGCAGCTCCCAGCCAACCCCCAACCCATCCAGCAGCTCTCTGTCAATGCATTAGCAAATTCCAGAGCAGCAACTGCCCAGCTGGGTCCAGCCACATTGCTAGCCCACAGACAGAATTGTGAGCTGAATAAATTGTTATTTTAAGCTACTAAATTTTGGAGTGGTTTGTTATGAAGCTAAAGCTAACTGATATATTAAGTTAACAGCTACCTTTCTGGTCTCAACTTAGATACTACTTCCTTGGCAAAGCCACTTCTGACCCCCTTGGAGTCTGGGTTAGGGTTCCCTGTTATTTATCCCAGAGGCACATATAGTCCAGTATTATAATTACTTGGGAATCATCTCTATCTTACAATAGATTGTAAGATTTTTGAAGGCAGAAATTCCATCTTATGAATTGTATCCTTTGAGGGCTAGCACATTATCTGATACTCTGTAGATGTTCAGAAAGTATTTTTAAATGAAGAAAGCAATGGATTAAATCAGAGGTTGCAATCTGTGGCCTGCATATGTTCAGTTTGTCATACAAAGTGTTGACTTAATGATAAAAAAGTATTTTTTTTTCAAAATTGTTTGCCTACATTTGACAAGCAAGAAATTTAAGGTAAGCACCTATATTACTAGTTTTTCATTAAAAAATAGGAAGATCCATCAACATTGGGCCTTTATTCCTCATAGCACCTATGAGTGGTGGCTGTCCCTTTTAGACGGGCACACACTTCCTGACTGTGACAGTCCTTCCTGATGCCTATTGTCCCCTCAACACCCATTGTGATTTATTGCCACATCTGTGCAATTTTTTGTAGACATCTGCAAGTTTAAATCAGCTACTTGCCTGCTTGAGGCATTCAACACATAGGATTGCTGCTGATAAACATGTCCATTAACTTCAAGATGAGTATAATCTAGGCAGCCTCTCTCTTCTTGGTAATAATACCCTGTAGGCCCATCCATGTTGTCACAAATGGCAGTATTTCTTTTTTTATGGCTAAATAATATTCCATTGTGTATATGTACCACTTCTTCTTTATCCATTCATCTATTGATGGACACTGAGGCTGCTTCCATATCTGGACCATGGTAAATAGTGCAGTGATAAACATAGGGGTGCATGTATCTTTTCGAATCAGGGTTTTTGTTTTCTTTGGGTAAATTCCTAGAAGTGGAATTTCTGGGTTAAACGGTATTTCTATTTTTAGTTTTTTGAGAAACCCCCATATTGCTTTCCACAGCTGTTTGTACTCATTTGTATTCCCACCAACAGTATAGGAGAGTTCCTTTTTCTCTGCAGCCTCATCAATATTTGTTGTTTCTTGATTTTTGGATAGTGGCCATCCTAACTGGTGTGAGGTGATATCTCATTGTGGTTTTAATTTTCATTTCCCGCATAATTAGTGATGTGGAGCATCTTTTCATGTGCCTGTTGGCCATTTGTATTTCTTCTTTGGAGAAGTGTCTGTTCAGGTCCTCCACCCATTTTTTAATCAGGTTATTTGTTTTTCAGGTGTTGCGGTATGACTCCTTTATATTTTGGACATTAACTCCCTATCAAATGAGTTGTTTACAAATATATTCCCCCATACTGTAGGATGCCTTTTTGTTCTGCTGATGTTGTCCTTTGCTGTACAGAAGCTTTTTAGTTTGATGAAGTCCCACTTATTCATTTTGATTTTGTTTCCCTTGCCTGAGGAGATGTGTCCAGGAAAAATTGCTCATACTTATGTTCAAGAGATTTTTGCCTATGTTTTCTTCTAAGAGTTTTATGGTTTCATGTCTTACATGCAGGTCTTTGATCCATTTGACTTCACTTTTGTGTATAGAGTCAGACAGTAATCCAGTTTCATTCTCTACATGTCGCTGTCCAGTTTTGCCAACACCAGTTATTGAAGAGGCTGTCTTTTCATAGTTATATATTCATGGCTCCTTTATCATATATTAATTGATGATATATATGTAGGTTTATATCTGGGCTCTCTATTCTGTTCCATTGATTTATGGGTCTGTACTTGTGCCTCCTGGTAAGATTTTAAGCATTGCTAATGGGTCATTTTTCTCTTCTACAAATTGGCTTTTTCTCCCTCCAAAGGGTTTTCAAGGATAATTCAGTTTATAGCCTGCCTCAACTAGAGCAAGATGCTTTCTTTTGTCTCAGAATTGTTTCATTATGGTAGGAATTGTGGTTTGGCTGGAGTAGCCTTACCCAGCAGTCCCTGGCAGGGACATCAGGCCAGTTTTCTGATATTTTTTCCCTTAATGATGCTCTTGAGGGTCTACATAAGATCTGCTGCTGGTGGTCTGTCTCCTTCATGATGGATTGGAGGACTTTTTTTTGGATGACCACTCATTCTATTTATAAAGCTGGTAACTCAATGATTGGGTCTTTGAAAGAAGAAACTATACAGCCAATTCATAGTTACAGGTTTTAAAAGAAACTCACCAAAGCTGGTTGATGTTCAGCAGGAATGCATTGGTACAGGTAAGCCAGTTGTTTATCCCGGCATCTGTCCTAATTGGTCAGTGCACAGGACAATCTGGTAGTTGAATCTCTTGAACAGAAGTGACTCTGAAATTGACACATGGGAATATGAAAAATGCTAGTCTTCAATTATGTCTTTACCTTTGAACTCATTTGTGAGGCAACAGGCTTAACAACTTGCATGCAGCTCTATGACACTGGTGCTATGAATTCTCTTTAATCAATGCCAGAATAATTTATTCATTTCAGAAGAACTATTATCTCTTATGGTGCATCCAAGGTTCAGCTCACATGGGCATAAAAAGCAGCTCAGGCTGTTCTCTGATTAGTGAAATCAATAAGCAGGTAGAACTTGCTCTGTTCCCTGAGTCCTGACTAAACTAGTTAATGCCTCATCATGTCCCAAGTCCCATGCAATCAAACCACCAGCTTCTGAGGTCAACCAAGATGGAGGCTGAAGTGAGCACAGTCCACCTTCTATAGCCATAAAAAGAAACAGAAACTCTATTTTTAGTAGTAGTTATTCTTCATTTGATGATACATAAGAACGGATTAGCAGAGTTGACGCCTCCTTTTTTAGCCTAGTTAGAGAATTAAAGTATTGACTGTGTGACTTTTTCATATTCTATATTCATTCTTTAAAAAAACCATTAACTTTGCATCACAAAGGTAAAACATGATCATTACAGCAACATTCTGAATATGGTTAAGTAAAATGCAGAAAATTAAAAAAGTTCCCCAAATCCCATCTTAATAAAATGTTGTAGCATTTTGAAGTGGATTAGTCTAGTTATCTCTTTGTCTCTGCCTGATTCTTTATATTTTTGACATCTTTGAAACTTGGAGTTCTTTCTTTTAAACCTCCAACTTAAAAAAAATATCTTCAAGGAAAATGTTTTCAAACATGTTAGACATTCTTCTGCTGTCTTAGAGATTGTTAAACAAAAATGACTCAGGTAGTCAGTCGCTCTGATTGCTAATTATTGTCATAAATTGAGTCATTTTCATAAGTCTCTTTCAGCTATCATTTTTTATATCTGTGTGCCTGGCTCTAGAAACTTGGAGTATTCTAACTTTCTGTGACTGGAAGAAAAGGAATATATATAAATTAAAAGTCACCAAGCTCTGCATAAGCCAAAGAGCCTCTCCTATGACATAAAATGCATCGACTTTATTTCATAAATTTCTGGGACCTGGAGGCCTTTTATATTTACTTCCCATTTTTAACTGTATGTCAGAGTTGAGATTGCAGGAAATGTGATCTCTGAATTAGAGAAATTTTAATGTATTTTGAAATGTAATGTTGGGTGTCTTCTCATGTATGTGTTCACCATTTGGATGTCCTCTTTGGAAAAAAATCTCTAGTTCCTCTGCCCATTTTTAAATTGTTTTTTTTTTTTTGGTTGTTTTATTGAATTGTATGAGTTCTTTATATATTTTAGATATTAACCCCTTATGGTTTGCAAATATTTTCTCCCACTCTATAGGTGCTTTTTCATTTTGTTGGTTGTATCCTTTGCTGTGAAGAAGCTTTTTAGTTTGATGTAGTCCCACTTGTTGATTCTTGCTTTTGTTGCTTGTGATTTTTACATCATATCCAAAATATCATTGCCAAGATCAATGTCAAGGAACTTCTTTTTCACTGTGTTTTCTTCTAGTAGTTTTACAGTTTCAGGTCTTATGCTTACATCTTTAATCTATTTTTAGCTAATTTTTATGAGTGGTATAAGAAGGGGGTCCTATTTCATTTTCTGCATCCAGAAACAAAACAATTTGATTGGTGGCATTTATTGGACTGAAGGAAACTTTAAAAAGATTTATGATTTTCTAAGGAGTCATCTTCATTAATTGGTGTTAATCAGGTGGCTATGTTAATCAGGATGGGTGAGGGCTTGCTATGGTAAAATCTTAGTTGCTTAACACATGAGAATTTATTTCTTCTTCATACAAAACACACTGCTGGTCTGATGACTCTCTGGGGTAGATTTCTTCCAAGTGGTGACTCAGGGGTCTTGTAATCTATTATCTGAGACATACAGTTATCAGGATTAGCAGAGGAAAGGAGATCATGGAGAATTCAGACCTCCTCTCAAATGCCTGCACATTAAATACTTTAATCCAGAAGTGATACATAACTGCCACTCACACCTCATTGACCAGTAACTACCGGGATGGGACGCTGCAGCACAGCTGAAAATCCTAAACTTCTTACATGCCTGCAGAGGAGTGGAGGACATTTGTAGATGCATTCTGCTGGTCAGTGACTCTGAGCAAGTAACAACTTCTCCGTATGACAAAGGCTGGACTAGCTGACTAGGCGACCTTAGAATTCTTAGCTCTTCTCACAATTTCTGAGTCCGAATATTTGATTTCTTCTTATTGGCTTTGTGTTTTTGACATTTTGTAGATATTATTTTATTGTTCCTCTGAGGATATCAGGTAAATACTAGTACAGGGCACATACTTTTGTGGCATAGTGTAGCTGATGGTTAAGCTAGAGGGCTTTGAAGGCAGGTGATCTGGTTTGAATCCAGCTTGGTCTCTTACTAACAGTATGACCTTTGGCTGTTTAATTTCTTGATGACTCTTTCTCTTTTCTGCCTTTTACTATAAATGTAAAATGGGGATAGGAATAATACTATCTTCCTAGGATTACTGTGAGTATTAAATGAGGTGCCATGAATTGATCTTAGAACAGTGTCTGAAACATCCTAAGAGTTCAATAAGTTTATTTCATTTTATTTTTTGTTATTTTTAAAGGATGACTGTCTCCCTTGCCCTGGCTGGGTAAGTGTCTACATAGTAACAGCTCAGTAAACTGTTGTCCTTCAAGTCCTGGCATAATTAGCCAGCCTAACCCATGCAAATCTTGTTAATCTACTGACCCATAAAATGGAGTCATAAACGCTACTAACCCATGCAAATCTTGTTAATCTACTGAACCATGAAATGGAGTCATAAACGCTACTGTAGGTGATCTGGGTCTTTGACCAAGACCACCAGCCCCTTTGGACTCGTGCCTCATCTGCTTTAGCTTCCATTCCATCCCTGCCTGACCCTGGCGGGGCTCTGGATCTGAGCTGCATCTTGCCCTTGGCTCCTGCAAGCTTGAGATTCCTTCCTGGTTTTCCCCACCTGTCACTGAACTCCGGCTTTCTCACATAGACTTCCTGGGCTGGCTGCTTTGATTCCTGGGGAACCCACTTACCTTGGGTGGGATCTCCCGACCGAACCTCAGCCCTTCAGGATCCAAACCCTGCCTCAGCTTCTGGTTCACACTGAGGCTTGCTCCTGGCCTCCACACAACGGAGGGAGCATCAGACAGACACCCTTTCTTATTTCATCGCCATAACCTTTGAGTCTGGGTATTTATGCCGCCTGACCCTATCGCCATCCCAAATCAGTAACAAACCCAGGATGTTAAGTCCTCCTGTAGGTAGATACACACGAGCAAGAACTTTTTTCTTCTCCTTCTAGATCTTAAGTGGATTGTGCTTAGGAGTGAGTCAGACAAACTGTAGCGAGAGAGACCCTGAGAAATGGCATGTGTTCCTTCTCTGGCTTAGGAACAGCCTGGGTTCCCTCCCCTCTTGCTTTTTGGCTGACCTAATGGGGGATCCTCCCTGAATGGTTATGAGTGCATTTGCTCCAGGCAGTGAAGAGAGCACTTCTCGGCAGGCAGGGCTCCTCCTCAGGCTTGGTTCTGCCTAATGGATGAAAGTTAATATGCTTCTGTGTCAAGCTCCACGCAGGTCTTTCTTTCCTCTCTTGGCCAGAGAGAGCATTGAGTTAGGCTGAACTTTGATACAAGTAAGTTGCTTCCTACTTCTCTTCGCCCTTTCTTTTTCAAGTTGTATCGAAGGGTGTTGTAGGCCTTTTTTCTGCAAGTGCATAGTACAGGTGGGAGGTGCAAAGCATCTGAGATTTATGGAGAGGCAAAGAATTACATCAAAAGATGTTGTCATCCTGTCCCTGAAATGATGATTAATGCCACCAGTCTGCTTTCCCCCCAATCTACCTTCATGATCTTGTATGACAAACAGGTCAAATTTGTCACTGCCAAATGCAATAAATTCTTATCCATGGCTTTGAAAAAAGATAAATCATCAGAGAATAATTCCAACAATCTGCAAAGGTTACCGAGCACCATATTGTTTAACAGTTTGAGAAGTAGAAGAGTTTTGCAATTTCAGTTTTATCTAAATTTTTAATCCTCTGGATGTTTCAAAAATGGCAAAGACACTCTATCTCCCTAAGGCTGAGTTTGTCAAACACTAGCAGGGAGATGCTTAGCAGCAAGCATGCAGAATACACCAAGAAAAGAACTATGCTGTATGGTTGAAAATGCATGGAATTTTCACATTCTACTCCACATTCAGCCTAATTACTATAATAACTCATTTGCTTTGTGCTGTACAGTCAACAAAGAATATTGTTTTTAATGTAGTCTATGTGAATCTTTCAGCAAGGTAGGTTTTTTGTTAGTCTTCATTTTTTCAATAAGGGAAATGAAATGGAGGGATTAAGGTCACTGAGAAAAACACCTCAATCTGCAGATTCCAAATTCCAGTCCTTCCTATAACTGAGAGAGACTCAACATCTCTCTTTATCTTTTGCCCTTTGTATTGAAGGCAGAACTGGTGTAAATCTTCGGAAAGAAATTCTGTAGCCCTGGAGTACTTTACCTACCCTTTTCTCCAGGAACATTGCAACTGTCAGTATTGCTGGGAATGTAGGCTTTGCGAATGCCCAAGAGAAGGAGAGCTATAGTCTGCTATTCTGTCACCTACCGTCTTCCTCCCATACCCTGCACGGTGGTCAGAGTCAAAGCACACCCCCTAGTTGAATCCTCCAGCTCAACATATGGTGGGTGCAGAAGGGGGTTAATAAGACCCATTCTCTCCAGCTGGGAACAGAAGGCACCTCTCTTCTATTGCTTGAGGTTTGAGGTCAAGATTCAACTGAGACAGCTGGAAAGGTGAATCTATAAGTAGTCAAGACGAGACTGCTTTGGGGTTCAAAGGAATCTTTTCAGTCTTCTGTAGAACCCACGAGATGGTAAGGTACTGCCATGGCA